AGAAATGTGATTAAAAATTTTCAAAAACCAATCAAAAAATTAGTTTTGTGTGATGATTTGAAATAAGATCGACAAAATTTGGCCAATAAAATGGCTTGTTTTACAGTGTCCATTATGCTATTGAGCACACAGTTTTTTACTTTAAAATTACGTTACACGGCATAAAAAATTGGTGCAACGTTTCGAATGTCCACCATGCTGATCAAATATAGAATTATATCACTATGGTGCCAATCATCTAAACACATCAAATGCTGTGCCAACTGGTGAAATTTTCTATGAAAATCATTCCTTTTATGGAACTAATTTTTAACAATTTTAATTCAAATCTATTTCTTTTTTTTTTTTTGTTAAAATGCTTAAACTGAAACTATTAAAAACATTACAGATGAATATATTGGTAAGGAGGTGTTTGAAAATGAATCTAGATTGACACAAACATTTTGAATGAATTAGATGTAAATGAACCTGGATTAGAAATCGAAGAGTTGATCTATCAATACATTGAATCTGATGATGACTGGAGATTTATCTTTAACTACAGAGTTAGAATCTTGGGAAGGTTTACAACAAACTGTGTCATTGACTCTTAATCCTATTTCTCTCTGTAAAATTCATAAATTTGCAAGCATAGTGGACATTCATTTTATCACATGTGACAAAATCGATCATTGATCTTTTTTCTGTTGTGAAACATGTGACTTCAATTGAATTTAGAATAGAAAAAGTCTCATGGCTGCGCACAAAAACTTGTTTAACCTGAGATGTAATTTTTTAACATGTATATTTTGCTTTCTATGTTCTCAGTATGTGTGTGAAAAATGATCAAATAATTAAGTTGCTTTTGAAGGGTTACATAGGAGCTATATTTCAAGCTTTAGTGATCAATGTAAGTATATTGTAAGACATTCTAGGCTCAGAATCATGCATTTTTGTTTTATAATATGTTTATTTAAATCTTACCAATACAAGCATTTCAGAAATAATCATTTCTTCATTTTAATTTAATGTAACAAATTATCATTAACCATTATTATTATATAGGATTTTATATTTGAGACAACACCCTTTTTATAAAGTTCCATGACCATGTATTAATGTTATACCTTCTTGTTCGTCCTCTTTGATCACAACATCATTATCATTGACAAGAGACGAAGAGAAAGAAAAATGTGAGAAAGCTATTTGTGATGGAAGATAAACTCTCACTTGTAAATATTATTATTTATTTTTTTTTTTGTTATATAAACTTGATATATTAAATTTTGGATAATATTTTATTTATTATATATAGTGAAAAAATTATTTAAACACACATGCATATATATCTTTAGAGGAACCATTACTAGCAAGAGGTTTAATAAATATTCAATTATTACAATGCATATATATATAATTTAATCTCTAAAAAAAAAATTTTTAAAAAAAGGTGATTGATAACAAACAAAATTGTTTTATGTGTAAGATTGAATAGGAAATCTTACTGACAAATGATTTTTGGTATTGATTTGAGAGTTAATTGTTATTTTCTTTTTTATTCAAGAGAATTGTTTTGAAAGTAGGTCACCTATGTATTTTGATTAATTACAGAATTAGAGAATGTTATTTCTTGATTTTTTAATGATGCATTTAAAAAACAAGAAGGATTTTTAAATAACAACAATAGATATACTCAGGGTGCAATTATAAAGTGATGTATACAATTTAAAAAACATATTTAAAATATATTTCTTTTATATTTATATTTATATTTATATTTATATATTTACATATTTACATTTATTTTTATTTTTATTTTCAAAATTCATATATTCATTCATATTCATGTCACCAATTTATTTATTTATAGGAAATGTCAGATATATATACACAGTATTATATTTTCTTTTAATATACTATACTTATATCCTTTTTATGATGATATATTAAGTATATAAATTTTATTTTAGTACTTTTTTACTTTAAAGGTGGAAAAAGCTAAACTTATTAAACTTAATGACAGTAAAGGACAAATTAAATAATAATGGGGTGATTTTATTCTAAATATTTTATTCATTTCTGGTATAGATTGGTCTTGGGCAAGTAATATTTTTGAATTCATCCCTTACAAATGGGCGAATATTCTGGTAAAGATATTCTTGCCTTTTGTAATCCAAAGGAGGTGGTGTTAACAATAAAATAGATAAAGCTCTAATTTCTTCAAAGATATCTGTTTTCTTGGTTTTCAATAAATTGAACTCAACAAAAGGTCCATTAGCAACTTCTTGAACTTTCACTATACCAAAATTAGATGCTTCAAAAAGAAAATGTTGATATTTCTGGATGCTTGGTAATTTCTTAAAATAAATTCCCAAAATAGCTTTAATATCTAAGAATTGAAAACCTTTTCCACCTTCATAACGCTGAGCTTTATTTAATCCTGCTGGACTAGACCTTTTTATCACCTCAACCACATGGTCCAGACAATCTACTCTTGTTTTCCTATAGAGTTTTTTAATCAATCCAAAACTACCATCACATTTGAATTTGGTATGTCCTGGAACCATGAAATTTAATTCAATGCTTTTGTAATAACCACAAATTACCAAATATAAATAAAATCAAATTGTTACATTATTTTTATTTTGTCCCCCAGCATTATCACAAGTAATCTTTAAATGTTTTTCACCTTTATTCAATTTCTTAATTCCATCAAAAATCATACTAAGAAGTCAATCGCTTTTTGATATTCATTAGAACCACTATACTTATTATTATTTTTCATATACACTTATCCCTATATTTATAATTTTATAATTTTATGTTCATTTTGTAGGTTTTTAAACTTGAAACTGGTCCTATAGTTAGACAGAACAAATATCAAGAATAACTTTAAATATATTAATTGATGGAAAATATGATCATTGAGTAATTCATGAAAGAATACAGAAATTTTGACAACTGGTTTTATCTCCAGACCTATCATCATCAATCAAAACAAGAAAAAACAAATTGGTAATGCCATTCATTATATTTATTTGGAATTTATATCTAATGATTATTACTAGAGGTTAATTGAAAATAATAAAAACATAGAGATTAAAGACAATGAATACAAAGTTATTAAAATAATGATAGTATTATTATCAATGACAATAATCAAAAAAAATAGTATAATGAAAAATGAGTTTCTGTCTAATCTAAATACAAAATGAATATATTTGCATTAAAAAACTATCAAACTGAATATAAAACTATGAAATAGTATCTGATGCCATGTCCAAGTTAATACACAGAGCATATTGTTTTATTTCATTAACCCACCTATCAATAGTAATCTTCTTGTCCGATGTCAAAATTTGCTGCACTTTATAAAAATTTTTGTGTGTGCTTTCTGGAACAACAAAATAAAGACAAATATCTTCACCATCCATCAAACCCTTGACTTTTTTAAATACTTTAATTTTATTGGATGGGCATGGCTTACAGTCATTTGAAAAAAATTTATTTGGAGGAACCAATGAATCAAAACCTTCATTTGTTTTGGAATGAGGTATACAATATGAATTGTTTTCAATTTCACTAATGTCTTTGTATTTCTTTAATTTGTATTTAGGAAATTCTATATTAATTTCTTCAGATTCTGTAGCAGATTGACTAAGTTCATGTACATTAAAAGTCCCTCCTCTTGATATAACTCTGTGAGCATAGCTTTCAAATAAATTTCCACATACACTTCCCCATACTCCATAGTTACTTGCTTTCAAAAAAGCAAGCAGTTCTGATTTATGCTGTTGTTCATACAGTTCTACAACTTTCTTGCATGCATAGGGAGAGGCAAATTCCATGCATATATTATTATAATTTGGTGGTGTTGTGTAAATGTGATATATTTTATGACTTGTCTCACAACTGAACTTTCCATCATTAACAATATTAGCACATCTCCCACTTGATAATCAATTTATTTCTAGTAGTAATTTATCTTCTGTCCACTTTTTTGGGCCAAACACATACCTAGGGATACCTCCCCACAAATCATATTGTTTGTTGACCATATCTTCAGAAATATGACTATAAATATTTCTATGGCTATCCATTATCTCTTCCTTTGTCCATGGGGGCATTATCAATTCACTTGCAGTATCAGACTCTTTTTGAAATTGTTTCATGGCCTCATTATCTGGAGAGTCAATAAAAACCTTTTTTGCCATTATATCCAGAGTTTTTGGAACTGTTGTGTCCATGATATACCAAGTTTCACCATCCTGGAGTTCTTTTCTAAATTCTCCTTTGAAAACACAACCATCAGGTTGAAATTTATGTTGATCCTTCATTAAGAAATGTTCATATATCACAGTTTTCCCCTGTTTAGCCAAATATATCAAAAGAAAAAATCCAAACATTGATTTTCCAATGCCAGGATTTCCAGTGACAATCCAGCCATTATAATTTTTATCTTCAGTGATCAATTTCCACAAATCTGTATAACATTCACGAATTATGAAAGCAGATCCAAAACTTTTACTACCAAAGATATTTACACCATCTGGAAGGGAAATAAGCTTATCATCTGGATTAATCATTAATGATAAAGCAGCTTTCCAAAATTCAATCATTCTTTCACTTGCCAGTTCTAAAAAATGAAAAATCAATGAATAAAATTTCTGATATTTTTCAAGATTAATGAAATGTATGAATATTTCAATTCTATATAAGAATATGATAATAATATTACATACCTGCTTGCTTGAGTCTCTTGCTTTCATTTCCATCATCAAAAGAAAATGACTGTTTTCTTTTTCCTACAAAAGTTATTCAATGGTGTAAAAGAAATAGTAATGGTGAACAAATGTAAAGAAAATAAATGATATAAAAAGATAAATCAAGAATGAAACAGATGACAAATTTAGTTATAATTGTAAATAGTAGGTTAAATATTCCACGGACAAATAAATAAATAAACAAAATGGAATGAATGAAAAATAATAATATTTTTTTTTTTGCGTAATTTGTTCATTACCTTCTCCACCAAATTTTCTTAATTCCTTCCCCACTCTTCTATTTGTCCCCTCCAAAAGTCTTTTTCTTCTTCTAATTTCTTCTTTCCTTCCTTCAACTCATCCCTCTGCTCTTCCCAACCCTTCTTCTGGTTTTTGTTCCTCCATTCACCATCTGCCAATTTATTATCCAACTTGTCTAACCTCTCCTGTTTTTTCCCTCTTCCCACTTCTCCAGCTTCTTTTTCGCCTCTTCATACTCCCCTCTTGCTATTTCTAATTCTTGTTTAATTTCTTCTTTTGTTGCCATTTTTAAAAGATTTAAAAAATTTAAAAATTAATTATTTTTAAAAAAAATTTTGATTTTATATTGTAATTGTTACAATTAGGGACATTGCAAATCAAGTGTCATTCAATATAAACATTACACAAAAAATTTATTGTCGTCCACTTCAAAAAAAAAAAATCTCCGTTTTTCATGTAACAAGCGACTTTCAACCA